ACATTTTTGTCGCCCCTGCGCCGCCCCGAGGGCACTTCCAAAAGTGCCTTCGGCCCGACGTGGGCGCCCATGTCGCCCATGCCCATGTCGCCCACGTCGCCCATGTCGCCCATGTCGCCCCTGGCCCCGCCTATCCCCCCAGGGATTTCTCCACAATTGGCTACCGCCTGGGGGGGGCGATCTTCGCGGACCTCCACAGGCGGAGGATGTGAACCTAGCCCCCAGGGGTGGATCTGGATAACCTCCCGCCTCGCACCAGGGTGCCGGGGAGGAGGAGGAGGAGGAGGAGGAGGAGGAGGAGGAGGACGAGGAGGAGGAGGAGGAGGAGGAGTTGGAGGAGTAGGAGGACCAGGAGGAGGAGGAGGAGGAGGAGGAGGGGGAGGAGGAGGAGGAGGAGGAGGAGGAGGAGGAGGAGGAGGAGGAGACACCACTTGCAAGCCACACTTTGGAAGCGCCGAGAGGAGGCCTGGAGGGCGCAGCTGCGGGAGACTCGGCGCGCGCAGCGGGCCCAGGCCCTCGGGCGCTGCGCAGAGGGGCCAGTGGGGGGGCAGCCTTCGGCCGCCCATCTCAGGCGATCGCAAACATGGATCAAGGGGGCGCGGATTAGCGACGGGTCCCGTTCCCATGGGGAATCGCGGATCTCCGCCGCCGAACGAGGCGGCACCGGCCGCCTTTTGGGGAGGGCACCTCCCGCGCTCCATGGATTTGGCGACCGCGCGCCGAATCCATGGATCGCTAATCCATGTTTGCGCGCCCCCGAGTGTGTCCTCGCAACTCCGTGTGAGCGTCGGCGGGCGACGGTTATTTAGCGCCGATTCGCGTCCCCAGCGCTGGCCGATTTGAGCGTCGATGTGGCGGCGATTTAGTGTAGACTAGCGTCGATTCGCAAGAGCCAGCGGGACGGCCTCGGGCGCTGCGCAGTGGGGGGGATGGGGGGCCTCCGGCTGCAAATCATGGGAGCCTCGTGCTGGAGGAAGCTTATAAGACTCGAGTAGCGCCGGAACTCGGGTTTGCCCACGCATTTTGACGAGCGCGCCCTGGGTGTGGGCGGTCCAGTTTTCGTGGGATGGTTGCAGCGGGAGCTCGCGTCAAGTTTCAAATTGGGTGTCGTCATTTTCATGATGGCCCCGTCAGGCCAACCCGAGTCCCCCGAACCCGAGTCTCGTCACTCCGCCTTTGGCGTACACTTGCGCGCGCTAGCGTGTGATAGGCGATGGAAGGTTAGCGTCGATGCAGCGTCGATGAGCATCGACTGGCATCGGTTAGCGCCGATTCGCGTAAATAGCGCTAGCCGGTTTAGCATCGATTGGCGTCGATGTTGCGTCAATTCAGTGTCGACTAGCGACTAGCGTCGACTAGCGTCGATTAGCGTCGTTTCGCAAGAGCCAGCAAGGTGGCGCTGGAGGCCCGCATAAGTTGCTTGGGGGTTAGATTCCCCGCGGAGCCCCAACCAGTCCCAAAATGTGCGCGGTTCTTCGTCACCCCGCTTTGATCGCGCCCCCCCCCCATTACGAGCAACTCCACAGGCCCTCGCGGAGGATCGAAGTTGACAAAATCGGCACAGGCATAAGCTCTGGGCGTTCCGCGCGGATTTCTCGGATCGCCCCCCTGGGCGCACCCAGCAGCGCCTCTGGCGCCGCCGTCCGGCGCGCTCCCGCGCGTCAGGTAGGGGAGGGTCGGGGGCGGAAAAGAGGGGGGTGATGACTAGGTGGGGGTGGATATCATGGCTCGGGCCATGATATCTCCCCAGATTTCGTGGCGCCTCTGTTTATTTCTTTACGTCCCTGGCCCCCCCGCTGGGCCGCGCACATGCCGCCGGTCATGATTTGCACACCCCTCTTGGACACCCCCCCCTTGGCCGCTCCAGAGGGGGGTCTGGCGCAGATCCAGGAAGTCCGCGTGGGGCTCCCAAAGTTTGTGCTCGTGCCGGCTTCCCTTCCCCTGGAGGAGGCCGAGGCCGCGGCGGCGCGGCGCGGGGAGGATCTCCGGGGAGGAAGCGCCGCCTCGAGCCCCCCACAGCTGGCGCCTGCTGCACGGTCCCGTGCGGTCGCGCTGCGAGCGCCGCCCCTGCTCGATTCCGTCCTCGGGGGCGTCTGCGACAGGGCCTGGCTCCTGGGAGTGGTTACCGGAGCTGGCCCCTGCAGCTGCAGATCAGAGTGGGGGTGCGGCGGGGGCGTCCGCAGTCTGCGAGGCTTTGAAAACAAGCCAGTTCAGGCGTCGTTTTCTTGCACATGACACAGCGGGCCCGCCGCTGGCGCCGAACTTTCGTCAGAGCAATGTGGGTGGGTCGCGGTCGGGTCGCGGGCGGGTCGCGGGCAGGTCGTGGGTGGGACGCGGGCGGGTCGCGGGCGAGGACGACGACAACAACAAACAAGCAACAACCAGCAACAATAATCACCACCGCGGAAGCCCCCTTCAAGAACGCAGCCAGGGATAGTGTCTGACCTCTCGGCCCCCTCACTCTGAGTATGAGGGCGGTGCTTCTGAACTCCAGAGCCCGCGCCGAGCCCGCGTCGGATAGCAGGCCATACCGCAGCTTGCAGGACAGAGGACTTCCGGAGATGCAACGCATCCTGGCTCCAAGACATCCGATGATATGATTGTTCCCATTCGAGGCCCCGGATGTCCCAACCCACTGCCCAGGTTCAGATTTTCGCTCCAGAGAAGATTCTGAGAGCCCAGGGGCCCATTACGCGCCAGTCGTTCAAAGTGCGCAGTTGTGGATTCTCCGATCCCAATATACTTCAAGCATCTTCCTACTTCAGGAATCGATATGTGTTTGGCTTTTGTTGGATGTACTCTGTTGGCTGGCCCGAACCCAATCTAGTTGATCCGCCTTCGTACCTCAAGAATAGATGTGTGTTTGGCTGTTGTTGGATATATTATGTTGGCTGGCCCGACCCCAATCCGCCTTCCTACTTCATGCTTTCACCTGCTTCTTCTGACTGGCGGCAACGGCCCCCAGAGGCCGAAGTCGAGGAAGAGCGAGCGCCCGGGTGAACGCGACGCGATAGTAGTGTCTTGCGCGCTTGTTCTTTCGTTTCCCGAGTCCCCCATCAAGCCGCGCACCGAACAGGTCACTCTTGCCTAGGGTCCATCTTACTCTGGATGGGCCCCCCCATCCCCCTTTGGATCCGCTGGGGGGGTTAGGCACGTGCTGTTCCTAACGGGTGGAGGAGGAGGAGGAGGAGGAGGAGGAGGAGGAGGAGGAGGAGGAAAAGGGGGAGGGGGAGGGGGAGGGGGTGGGGGAGGAGGAGGAGGAGGAGGAGGAGAGGAGGAGGAGGAGGAGGAGGAGCTCAAGCCCGTGTGGCTCAGGCGTCTGCCTGAGGAGGGGCCATTCGCTTGCACTTGCGAGCCGCTGTTCTCCCCCCTTGCCCCCCGCGCCGCCATGGTCTCAGCAGCCAGGCTCCATTGGATCATCCAGGAGCTAGCGACTGGCCGCCAAGGTGTTGTCAAACTGTGCAGCCACAGCGACAAGCTGATCATGCAGATCTGCCTGTTCCCCGTCTGGGAGCCGACTATGCGGAACAGCCTCATGATAAGTTTGCTCCACATGGTGCAGCTGGACATCGACAACGCTAGTATCGTGGACCACGGGCACAAGAACTCCAAAGGCGAGTCCCGCACCCGTCTTGTCGTGAAGCCCCTTCCGGTTTTCTTCGAAGGCTTCTCTGATACGCCGCCGGCCATGCGTTCTGCGGTGGAGGCGGGCTCCGAGCGCCAGACGCACGCCGAGTCCATCGGGCCAGTCCTGGCGCACGAGAAGGGTGAGTCGTCCAGCGTGCAGCTTCCTGGTGAAGGTTGCGCGACTGGCTCGGGCTCTGCGGCGATGGAGAGCGAACCCTTTGCCAAGGCGGAGACTGATATTGACATGGTGAGGCCCCAGCGGCACGGAAAGGCCATTGTTCCTCAGCAGCACGGCGAGAAGCACACATTCGTTCCAGGCATGACCGCGCGTCTCGTTGGCCTCAAGGCTAGGCCGCTGCTAAATGGTCGTGAAGGCACCCTGAGCTTCTACGACGACGCTGCTTACCGCTGGGCCTTCAAGACTGGTGCGGAGGCCATTCGTGTCAAGGCATCTTCTCCTGAGCCTATCGGCTCCCATACGAAAAAGTCTCTCGGTATGGCGTTCCAGAAGGCCGCTTTCGAGTGCCAACATGTGGACCCAGTTGCTAACGACCAGGTGTTCCAGATATTGTACGACCTCGCTGCTCAAGAAGGGCAGCCTGGAGTGGCCGCTTTCTTCCTACCGTTACTCAGCGACAAGACAGCCTTCGACCAGATGCACTGCCACACGGCCGCCAGGAGTCCTGAGATCGTCTACCAGTGAGTGGCGCTTCGCTGCGTTCTTGGTGCGCCTAGTGCATCCATTTTTGTGCCCCCATACGCCATTCCTTGCGCCCCGCGTCGTCCGTTGGGTTGCGCTTCTCGTCGTGGCTGCTGGCGGCCCCATGCATGTTGGGGTTGCGCTTCCCGTCTAGGGTCCTTGATTCATGTGCTACTCGTTCCTTCGGGCGAGTGCCGTGTTGCCAGGTTCTTGCGGGCGATGCTCGGCTGTGTCTCTCGTGCACGCGTGGACACCACAGACGTTCGTCTTCTAGGGCTGCAGGAAGAAGAAGAAGAAAGGAGGAGGAGGAGGAGGAGGAGCAGGAGCAGGCCAGGTTCTTGCGGGCGATGCTCGGCTGTGTCTCTCGTGCACGCGTGGACACCACAGACGTTCGTCTTCTAGGGCTGCAGGAAGAAGAAGAAGAAAGGAGGAGGAGGAGGAGGAGGAGAAGAAGAAGAAAGAGGAGGAGGAGGAGGAGCGGAGGAGAGGATAGGAGGAGGAGGAGGAGGAGGAGCAGGAGAGGAGGAGGAGGAGGACCGGTAGAGAGGCATCAACATTGAGGGGGAGGAGGAAGGAGGAAGAGGAGGAGGAGGAGGAGGTAGAGGAGGAGTAGGAGGCAGAGGAGGGGGAGGGGGCGGGTCAGGAGGAGAGGAGGCGGGAGGAGGAGGAGGAGGAGGAGGAGTGAGGAGGAGGAGGGGAGAAGGAGGAGGGGGAGAAGGAGGAGGGGGAGGAGGAGGAGGGGGAGGAGGAGGGAAGGAGGAGGGGGAGGGATGTGGGGAAGCTTACGTCTCGGAACGTTAGTCGGCCCACCCCGCGATTCATACCCCACCCAGAGTCGGGTCGCTCTTACGCGCAGCCGACCTTTACCCTCCAGAGGAGGAGGAGGCAGCGGCGGCACGGCAGAGGGCCGAGGCGGCCGCCGCGCGGGAGGAGGAGGAGGCGCGGGCGCAGCGGCGGGAGGAGGAGCGGCGGGCGGCGCGCGAGGCCGAGGCGAGGCAGGCCGAGGAGGAGGAGGCCGCCCGCGCCGCGGAGGAGGCGCGCGCGCGCAGGGCGGAGGACGACGCGGCCTGGCGGGCGCAGGTGCGGCGCAACCGCGAGGAGTGGCAGGAGGAGCTCGCGCAGAGGCAGCGCGAGGAGGAGGAGGCACCCCGTGGGCCTCCCTCGGCTCCCCCTCTTGGCGTCGCTCGGACGTGTGCAAATTCTCTTTCGTTGCGGGGGCCACCGATGAGCATCCTGGAACCTTTTGGCAAAACGAGCACGCGCGAAACCGACAGACGCACGGGGAATGGACGTTCGAGCGATGGCAAGCACCGGCCGGGGCAGCTCCCTCTGGGAGTCGTGCCTGGGGGGGCTCCTCTCCGCCCGCCTCCCCCCGGTGCGAGGCGCGCGCGCAGGCGGCCGGCGCCGCGCTGCGTTTGGGGGGGGGGGGGGGGGGGGGGCGGGGCAGGATGGAGGAGGAGAAGGAGGAGGAGTGAGAGAGGAGGAGGAAGGAGGAAGAGGAGGAGGAGGAGGCGGGGGAGGGGGAGGGGGAGGGGGAGGAGGACAAGCTAGGTGCGTTCGCGTCATATCTGAAGTCCTACCCCTCCCTCCCATCCCTTACCATGGCGCTGATTTTCTCTATCCGCGGACGCGTGTCGTAGCGGACCTGTGGCTCCGCGCGCGCGTGCGTAGTGGGTGGTGGTGCACGTGCGTGCGTGCGTGCGTGTGTGCGTTGTCGTGGTGGTGGTGGTGGTGGTAGTGGTGGTGGTGGTGGTGGTGGTGGTGATGGTGGTGGTGGTGCTGGTGGTGGTGGTGGTGGTGGTGGTGGTGCTGGTGGTGGTGGTGCGTGCTGGTGGTGGATGTGCTAGGTGGTCGGTGGTTGTGTACTGGTGCTGGTGTGCTGGTGGTGGGTGTGTGTCCTGTGGTGGTGGTGGTGGGGTGGTGGTGGTGGTGGTGGTGGTGGTGGTGGTGGTGGTTGGTGGTGGTGGTGGTGGTGGTGGTGGCGGTGCGGCGCGGTGGTGGCGGGCGGATGGGCGCGCGAGAAAAAGGCCCGCGCTGGGGCGAGAACGCCATCCTGAACGACGGAGGCCAAACACCGATCCGAAAATGAGGCCCACGCTGCAGCGGGAGCACGATTCGGAACGATTCGGGAGCAGAAATGAGGCCGGCGCCTCAACGAGAGCAGCATTTTGGGAAAAAATGACGCCGGCGCCTCAGCGAGAGTCGTTTCCCGGGATTTCCCGGGCATCCTGTGTGTAAAAAACAGTACGCGGAGGGTGCGCGGCCATCACCCGGACGCCATCAGGGGAAGAGGGAGAGTATATTCATATTGAGTAATTGTAGAAGGAGGAGGAGGAGAGGAGGAGGAGAGGAGGAGGAGGAGGAGGGGAGGGGGGAGGGGGGGGAGGGGGAGGAGGTGGAGGAGCGGGAGGAAGAGGAGGAGGAGGCGGAGGAGACCCCGAAGAGGCACATCGAGGAAGAAAGAGCGGTACGACCATAATTTTCCGGAAGTTCGCCCGGACTCCTTGGATCGGCGTTGGGCCCCCCTGGCGGCTCCTCCAGCGCCGCCCCTGGCACGCTCCGCGCGCAGTGCCGATCCAAGGAGTTTGCGCGGACCTTCGAACAATTATACGTGGCCCTTGGTGTCTGGAGATGATAGTGAGGGGGCTGGCGCGGGGTGGGTCGCGGGTGGGTCGCGGGTGGGTCGCGGGTAGGTCGCGGGTGGGTCGCTGGTGGGTTGCGGGTGGGTCGCGGTTGGGTCGCGGGTGGGTCGCGAGGTGGCGCGGGTGGGTCGCAGGCCGGGTCGTGAGTGGGACGACGACAACAGCATTGACTTTGAGATTGTTCGCTCTTACTTGCTCGCGCGCCACTCAACACGTATTTCCGAAACTGCGATGCCCGCCTTCTTCGTTTTCGATCGTACCCCTCTGGGGGAATATTTTCCTTACGTGCCGCGCGTAATTGGCGCAGCCCTTAAAAACAGGGGAAGAGAGGACGTATGGAAGGGTGAGGGAATCTGATGGAGCACGGGATTAGCAGGAGGGGGGCTAGGCGCAGACGGGCGGGTAGACCGTAACGGGCGGGACGGGAAAGCGGGCCCAAGCGGTTAGGTCGAGTAGGGGGGGTGGGTGATAAAGAGTGAGTGCTGCATGAACCGCAAGGATCTAGGCCTCGTAGATGGGGTCGGAGGATCGTGCCGCATCGCCTTGCATCGGCGATGCGGCTCGAAGTGGGGTTATTTTTTTCCACGCCGACGTCGCCGTCGCCAGTGCATCGCCGATGCATCGCCGACGTGTCGGCGATGCGGCGAGATCTTCCGAGTCCATCTACTCGGACCCCATCTAGGAGGCCTCTAGAGGAGGTCTCGAGCGACAGCGCGATGTCCAAGTGAGTCGCGAGAAAGAGCAAAGCGACAGCGCGATTCCTGAGAGTCGAGGGCGCAGCGTTCCAATAAATTGCGAGGACGTCCCACGCGAGTCCGCGATCCCTGCGTACATGATGAGGAAGTCCCGCGCGAGAGCGCGATTTTTCAATACATCGAGGAAGTATTCGGCGAGAGCCGTGGTTGAACCCTCACTTCTGAAGAATAATTATTGTTGATCCCCCCTGTCCGGTGCCCATTGTTTTTTTCAATTGAAGTGCTTCCTCCGGGGCTCGCACCCTGTTTTTTTGACAGGGAAAGCCTTGCGGATCAGATTGCGTTGTTGGGCCCGGACTACAACAACAACGGCTCCCGCCTGAGACTTCCTCACAATTTGCTCAGGACCCCCGCTCCCGCCTGAGACTTCCTCAAAATTTACTCCGGAAGGGCGCTCCCGCTTCAGACTTTCTCGCATTTTACTCAGAAGCGGCGCTCCCGCCTGAGACTTCCTTAATCAGGACCCCTGCTCCTGCCCGAGACTTCCTCATAATTTACTCAGGAATGGCGCTCTCGCTTAGGACTTCCTCGCAATTTATTGCAGCATCGCGTTCTCGACGCTCAGGAACCACGCTCGCGCCAAGGACGCCCTCGCAATTTTCTTAGGAATCGCGCTCTCGCTTAATACTTCCTCGCAATTTACGCAAAAATCCCGTTTGAATGTCCCGCCCGCCCGACCCGCCAGTCAGGGTCCGCCCGCCCGACCGGCGCTCCCGCCTGAGACGTCCGACAATGTACTCGGGACCCCCGCTCCTGCCCAACTCTTCCTTGAGGAATACGCCCTCGCCTAGGACTTCCTCGAACGTTCACACTCTTACCCTCCTGCCCCTTCCTCCCCATCCAACCTCCCTCCTCCCTCCCCTCTCCCTCATATCCACCCTCCTCCTCCCTCTTCCTCTCTCCCCCACCCTCCTCCCATAACCCTCCTCCCTCCTCTCTTCGCCCTCCCCTCTCCAGCCTCCTCCTTCCTCCCTCCTCTGTCTCTCTATCTCCAATCGTCCCCCCCCCCTCCTCGCCCCCTCTCTCCTGGCGTGTTCCCCTTTAGCCTCGTCCCTCCCCCTCCCTTCCTCCCACTCTCCCTCGTTCTCCCCCTTCCTCTTCTTGCAGGGCCCGCGCTAATTCCAATGGTGGGCAAAGAGATGCGTACCCCATCCTCCGAATAATTCCCCGCCCGTTCACGCCCGCTTGTTTACGCCCGCCCGCCCCCGCAAAAAGAAAGAATCCCCCCAGAAGGGGGTGCGCTCGAAGACGAAGGGGGCGGGTATCGAGGGCGTGGGTCTACACGTTGCATGGCACGCGGGCAAGTAAGAGCGAACAGTCTTAAAATGATTGTTGTTGTTGTTGTTGTTGCCATTGTTGCTGATGGTGTTGTTTTTATTGTTGTTGCTGTTTTTGTGGCGATTGTTGAACAGCCACTACTGCAATTAACATCAGTGTTGATCCCCCTCCGGTGATCATTGTGTTTTTTCTTGAAGGGCGTCCCTCGGGCTTCGCGCCTTGTTGTTTTTCAAGGAAGGTGACTAGGGTGAAAGTGCGTTGTTGGCCCCTGGATTACAACAACAACAACAATCATTTTAAGACTGTTCGCTCTTACTTGCCCGCGTGCCATGCAACGTGTATACCCACGCCCTCGATATCCGCCCCCTTCGTCTTCGAGCGTACCCCCTTCTGGGGGGATTCTTTCTTTTTGCGGGGGCGGGCGGGCTTAGACAAGCGGGCGTGAACGGGCGGGAAATTATTTGGAGGATGGGGCACGCATCTTTTTGCCCACCATTGGAATTAGCGCGGGCCCTACAAGAAGAGGAAGGGGGAGAACGAGGGAGAGTGGGAGGAAGGGAGACGGAGGGACGAGGCTAAAGGGGAACACGCCAGGAGAGAGGGGGCGAGGAGGGGGGGGGGGACGATTGGAGATAGAGAGACAGAGGAGGGAGGAAGGAGGAGGCTGGAGAGGGGAGGGCGAAGAGAGGAGGGAGGAGGGTTATGGGAGGAGGGTGAGGGGAGAGAGGAAGAGGGAGGAGGAGGGTGGATATGAGGGAGAGGGGAGGGAGGAGGGAGGTTGGATGGGGAGGAAGGGGCAGGAGGGTAAGAGTGTGAACGTTCGAGGAAGTCCTAGGCGAGGGCGTATTCCTCAAGGAAGAGTTGGGCGGGAGCGGGGGTCCCGAGTACATTGTCGGACGTCTCAGGCGGGAGCGCCGGTCGGGCGGGCGGACCCTGACGGGCGGGTCGGGCGGGCGGGACATTCAAACGGGATTTTGCGTAAATTGCGAGGAAGTATTAAGCGAGAGCGCGATTCCTAAGTAAATTGCGAGGGCGTCCTTGGCGCGAGCGTGGTTCCTGAGCGTCGAGAGCGCGATGCTGCAATCAAGTGCGAGGAAGTCCTAAGCGAGAGCGCCATTCCTGAGTAAATTATGAGGAAGTCTCGGGCGGGAGCAGGGGTCCTGATTAAGGAAGTCTCAAGCGCGAGCGCCGTTTTTGAGTAAAATGTAAGAAAGTCTGAAGCGGGAGCGCCCTTCCAGAGTAAATTTTGAGGAAGTCTCAGGCGGGAGGGGGGGTATTGAGTAAATTGTGAGGAAGTCTCATACGGGAGCCGTTGTTGTTGTTGTTGTAGTCCGGGGCCCAACAACGCAATCTGATCCGCAAGGCTTTCCTTGTCAAAAAACAAGTTACGAGCCCCGGAGGAAGCACTTCAATTGAAAAAAACAAATGGGCACCGGACAGGGGGGATCAACAATAGTTATTCTCCAGAAATGAGAGTTCAACGGCTCCCGATTTAGCCAGAACCCCCGCTCCCGCCTGAGACCTCCTCGCATTGTACTCGGGAATCGTGCTCTCGCTAAGGATGTCCTTACAGCTTATGCAGGAATATTTGTCTCTGCGCTCTGGAGTCGCGCTCTCGCTGGAGACCTGCTTGCAATATACTCAAGGATCGCGGTCTTGCGTGCGAGAATCTTGCAATTTACTCAAGCGCCGCGCTCCCGACACGAAGGCACCCAGGAGTCGCGCTCACGCTTAGAACTCCGTCGCAGCTTATTTAGGAATCGGGATCACGCAGCCCTCCGTGGCCCCCTCGTTGCCTTTTCGTGGCCCCGTTGCAGCCCTTCGTGGCCCCCTCGCTGCCCTTAGTGGCCCCGTTGCAGCCCTTCGTGGCCCCTTTGCTGCCCTTCGTGGCCCCGTTGCAGCCCTTCGTGGCCCCCTCGCTGCCCTTCGTGGCCCCCTCGCTGCCCTTCGTGGCCCCCATCGCTGCCTTTCGCGTTCTCGTTGCAGCCAGTCGTGGCCCCTCGCGGCCCTTCGTGGCCCCGTTGCAGCCCTTCGTGGCCCTCTCGCTGTTTTCCGTGGCCCCGTTGCAGCCCTTCGTGGCCCCCTCGCTGCCCTTCGTGGCCCCGTTGCAGCCGTTCATGGCCCTCTCGTTGCCCTTCGTGGCCCCGTTGCAGCCCTTCGTGGCCCCTCGCTCGTGGCCCCCTCGCCGCCCTTCGTGGCCCCACATATGTATGCCCGTCGTGGCCCCCCGCTCGTTCGCGCCCGTCATAGACCCATATGCATGCTCTTCGTGGCCCTGCTGTCGTTATTCGTGGCCTTCGTGGCCCCGTTGCTGCCCTCGCCATTCGCGCCCGTCGTGGTCCCATGTGCTTGTCCTTCGTGGCCCCGATGTCGCCCTGTGTGGCCCCCTCGCTGCCCTGCGCGGCCCCTTTGCTGCTCTCAGTGGCCCCGTCGTTGCCCCTTGTGGCCCAGCATTACCTGCCCTTCGTGGCGCCCGCTCGTCCGCGCCTTTCGTGGTCCTATACGCATGCCCTTCGTGTCCCCGTTGTCGCTCTTCGTGGCCCCATCACTGTTCGTGGCCCCGCTGTCGCCCGCGATCTCCCTTTCGCTCGTCGTCGTCGTCGTCGTCGCCGCCGCCGTCGTCGTCGTCGTCGTCGTCGTCGTCGTCGTCGTCGTCGTCGTCGTGGTCGGTCCCCTGGCCGTCTCTCTGGGGGCCGGCTGCCGCCGGTCAGCGCTGCCGCTTGCCAGGCCGACGGTCCGCGGCCGCCCCGCCGCTTGCCAGGGCCTGGCCTGTAGGGAAGAAGATCGACCCCCCAAAGGGGGTACGATCGAAGACGAAGAGGGCGGGTACCGAGGGTTTGGGACATACTCGTTGAATGGCACCTCGAGCAGACAAGCGCGAACAGTATTAAAGTGATAGTTGTTGTTGATGTTATTATTGTTGTTGGCCTCGTCATCGTCGTCGTCCTCGTCGTTGTTGTTGTCGGTCGGGGCCCAACAAAACAGAGTGGTGACCCCACAGCTTCCCTTGCAAACAGGGCGCGGGTCCCGGGAGAAGCCCTTGCATTGAATAACAGAACGGTCAGCGCGCAGGCGGAACCAAGTGCAATCATCCTTCTAGAAGAGAGAACTGGACAACAACAGAAACAGCAACATCATCGACAACAACAGCAACCACACCAACAACAACACCAACAACCACAACATCAACAACAACAGCATAAGCAGCAACAGCAGCAACAGCAACAACACGTTTAAGACTGAACGCTCTGATCTGCTCGCAGCCACTCACCACGTGTATCCCAAACCCACGATACCCGCCCTCTTCGTTTTCGATCGTACCCCCTTGGGGGTATATCTCTGCAACGTGTATTTCGTGCAGCCCCTAAGGCAGGGGAAGAGAGGACGGATGGAAGGAAGGGGCGAGGGGGAGGATGGAGCACGAGAGAGAGAGTAGTAGTAGGAGGGGGGCTACGAGCAGAAAACATGTGGCAGAACCAAACGGGCAGATCGGGCGGGTAGACCTTAACAGGCGTGTCGGGGAGGCGGGCCCAAGCGGCCAGGTCGAGCAGGCGGGTTGCTGAAGCGTGCGCCTTGCATGAATCGGGAGGAAGTCTTGAGCGACAGCGCGATTCCCAAATCCATCGTGAGGAAATCCACAGCGAGAGCGTGATTCCTGAGTGTCGAGACCGCGGCGTTTGAATAATTTGGGAAGTCGCACGCCAGAGCACGACTTTTGCATACTTTGTGAGGAGCTCCCGCGCGAGGGCGCGATGTGGGAATACGTTGTCGTAAACCGCGGGCCAGGGGCCCAGTCTGGTGACACCTCGGGCTCCCTTGTAACAAGCAGAGTGCGAGCCTTGGGAGAAACATTTACATTGAAACATGGAATGGTTATCGGGGGTGGATCAGCAACAATTGCCCTCTAGGACCGAGAACCCAACAACAGCAGCAACAGCAACAACATCAACAGCAGCAGCAGCAACAACAAGGAACAAACAAACAAACAACAAACAACAAACCACAACGCACCAACAGCCCGCACCGCGGACCCCACCTCAGCCACGCACCCAGGGACAGTGGCTGACCGCGCGGCCCCCTCAGTGTGATCGTTTTGCACTTCTGGCCCTCAAGGATCTGTGACATCTGCAGGTCCAGTCGGGCCCTGTGCTCCTGGAGGCGGCCGCGCAGAGCGCTGGCGGGACAAAGTACACGGCCGGGCCAGGTCGCGCCGTGGGCTCCCGCGGCCCGCGAGCACCGGCGGGCGACGTGCGTGCCGGGATCTCGTTTAGGACGTGGCCGGCCTGGCTGCGGCTTCCTGTGGTCAGTTGTGCGGCACGAACGGAATGGGTACGGAAAGAGTGGGTACGATGCCCAATAGCTGTTCCTGTTCATTTTGAACTGGGCTCGCTGTCCACGTCGCCGCGGCATGAGTCCATTCGAGACAGAAGGCCGCCTGCCCAACAGCGGCGCGCTGGAACACCCTGGGCCGGCACCCCTGGCGCCCACGCTGGCGTGCTGCGCAGGGGCAGGAGGAGGAGGAGGAGGAGGAGGAGGAGGAGGAGGAGGAGGAGGAGGAGGAGAAGGGGAGGAGGAGGAAAAGGAAAAGGAGGAGGAGGAGGAGGGGAGGGGAGGAGGGGGAGGAGGGCGAGGGAGGAGGAGGAGGAGGAGGAGGAGAGGAGAGGTGGAGAGGAGGAGGAGGAGGAGGAGGAGGAGGAGGAGGAGGAGGAGGAGGAGGAGGAGGAGGAGGAGATGGAGGAGGAGGGCCCAGCGCCGACCCTCGAAGTCTGCGCGGGCCTCCAGAAGTTTACTGCCAGGAGCGGCTGCTCAGCGTATCGCGCCGCCAGCTCTGGCCCACAAACGCTTCGGCGCGGCACGCGGACCACGTCCCTGTCCCTCGGGGGACAGTGCTTGTTGAGTTTTCTCCCCTGACGTTTTCCCAGGACCAGTTCTTCATTCCTTGTCGTTCGTGGAGGGTCCCAGGGCCTGGCCAGGGCCCCCAGAGGCCGCAAACGGCCAGAGATTTTGCGTCGTGATTTCTTCGCTCGGGGCTCAAGAGACGGGAGTCCATGCAAACGGGGGTCAGCCAGAGCGCCAGATCTTGCAGGATCCTGCAGGGCCAGGGTCGCATTGACCCTGGCTTGGGCGCAGGACCCTGCAGGATCTTGCAGGATCCTGCGAAGTCTGCCTGTCCCAGGTCGGGATTGACCCCGGTCAACGACGCGAGTCTGTCTGCGCAGTTTTCTGTCCACCGGAGGCCGCAAGGGAGGCGTCGCTGCGGGGAATGTTGCTGGAGGAGTGCGCCGCAGAGAGGGCCCGCGAGAGGGCCGCCGCCGGGCCCGAGGCCGCGGCGGAACCCGAGGACGGCCCCGAGGACTCGCGGCAACAAACGAAGGACCTCAACCCTGGCTCCTCCTCCTCTTCCTCCTCCTCCTCCTCCTCCTCCTCCTCCTCCTCCTCCTACTCCCCCTCCTCCTCCCCCTCCCTCCCCCCCCCCGTCCTCCTCCTCCTCCTCCTCCTCCTCCTCCTCCTCCTCCTTCTCCTCCTCCTCATCCCCCTCCTCCTCCTCCTCCGCCGGCGCGCGCGGGTCCCGCCCACGGCGTGCGCACAGTGACCGGGAGCCAGCAGACGTCTCCACCGCCCCTCCACTGCAAGTCCATTCCTTCTCCTTGTACAGTCAAGGAACAGTTTGGGCTCGGAAGGGGCTCGATGTTCCCCAGGTCCCTCCAGCGCTGTTCCTCGTGCCCTCCCAGGGCTCGGAGGCGCTCACAGGGCCAAGAAGGGGCTTCGTTCCTGATTTAGCGTTCCTTCTTTCGGCGGCCCGACTGTACATAAATAATTCGTCCCCGTCGCACCCCGAGGCCGGTCGAAAGGGCGAGCCGGGCGTTTCGCTCGAGAGTTCCTCACCGTTTCTAACCCTGAAGCTGAGAATTTTTCAACGGCTTCGCAGATGGAGGGCGCGTGGATGGCTTTCAACATGTGTTTACTGCTTTCTGCGCCGCGCACATTCGTATTCAAAATGTGGAAGAGTTTAATGGATTAAGGGCGGGTAGTTTTCAAAATATGGTTCTCGTCCTGGCAGCGCGCACATTCGTTTTTTGTTTAACAAGTGTTTCTCGGATTGAGGGCGGGTCGTTTTCAACATGTGGCTCTCGCCTCAGCGCCGCGCACATTCGTTTCCACAAAGTTTGCAAGTCTTAATCGAATGAGGGCGGGTCGGTTTCAAAATGTAGCTTTCGCCCTAGCGCCGCGCACATTCGTTTAACACATTTGCAAAAGTTTCACGGATTGAGGGCGGATAGTCTTCAAGATGTGGTTCTCGCCTTAGCGCCGCGCACATTCGTTTTAACACATTCCAAGAGCTTCACGGATTCCCGTGGTCAGCGTATCAGAACTTGCGTTGTTGAGCGATTCAGGGTTGCCAGAGCGCAAGACTTACGCTGATTCGCGGTGTTGAAGTCCTAGGAATGGTGTTCTGGCACGGCTCAAATTCGCCGAGACGTGCCAGTCACGTTAACTCGTGGCGTTCGGCCCTCAAGATTAGTGTTTTGGCACGCGACAGGATTTTCGCATGGTTGTCCCCCTACGGGGCAGTTTCTTCAGTGGTAATGAATTTTTGTGGTGGTTTGTGAAAGGGGGCTTGGAGGCAGGGTGTTTTCCAGCATCGTTGATGAACTTTGGGTTTGCACTTGACCTCTTCTTCCTCCTCCTTCTACAGTTCCTCCTGCTCCTCCTTTCGATTCTGATGCAGATCCGACCAGCCTGGTTCCAGAATGGCTCGGGCCAGGTGGCAGTAGTAGGCGGGGGAGGCGCTGTACCTGCAGGAGGCCACCCCCGCCGCCGCCCGCCCTGCAGGTGCGCACGGCGGGAGCAGCGCTGTACCTTCGGGAGTGGGGCGGCTCTGTCGCGTCCCAGGCCGGCACGTAATCTCTTCCGTGTTCGACGGCGGCTGGAGGCAGCTGAAGCCGAGTCCCGCAGCGAAGACGACCTCCCGCTCGCTGCTGCCACTACAGCCGGACCGAGGTGTACGAGGTCGGCTCGGGGAGGGTCTCCACATTTGCTTCGTGCCTGTTGGATGCTCTTGTGCATCTTGGGGGGGGCCCTTGGATGTCGTGCTTGTTCCGGCCGACGGAAGGTTTCATGTTCTTGAAGAGTGCTCCTCTGGCCCAGGTCCCACTAAACTCCTTGCTGAGGGGCATGTCATCGCTCGGACGTGTGCATTGTTTCTCGGCGAGAACCATCGAGGAGCATCCTTGATCATTTGGCGAAAAAGCCACGCACGAAACCGACAAAAACAACACAGGGAATGGACGTCCGAGCGATGGCGAGGGGGGCCTGCCGCACCCCACGCCGCGCCACGGCCGTTCACAGATCTGAGGCAAGGCTTCCGAACTCATTTGATGGCCCTCCTCCGTCACTGTTCCGGTGGCCCCCAGTGGGCTGGCGAGGTGCCCGCCCGAGCTCAGGCCAGAGCTGCCATTCCAATCTGGACAGCCCGCTCCCGTCAGAGGTTTGCGCGCCGTCAGGCTGTTTGTGCTCCACCCCACCTCCTCCTTTTCCACTCCTCCTCCACCCCTTTTAGAAATCACGCCTCCGTGTTACCTCCCAAGACATGTCAGTACGGCCAGCCGGGCGTTTCGCCTGATATTCTCCCACCATGAATGATCCTGAGGCTTGAAGATTGAAATTGTTTCGCGGATGGAGGGCGGGTCGTTTTCAATATGTGGCTCTCGCGTTAGCACCGTGCAAATTCGTCTTGCAAGATTGCACCGGTTGCACCGGTTTCACCGGTTTCACTGATGGAGGGAGGGTCGCATCAAAATGGGAGTCTCGCTTCAGCGCCGCACACCTTCGACTTAAACGTTTGCTTCAGCTTCACGGTTGGAGGGCGGCTCCTTTTCAAATCGTGGTTCTCGTCACAACGCCGCACAACAAGGGCATCTTTTAGGATAGAGGGTGGTTCCTTTTCAAGATGTGGTTCTCGCCTCAGCGCCGCGCACCTTCGTCGCAAAAGTCCGCGTCAGATCCACACATCGGCATGGTTGAGGTGCCATCAACGGTGTTCTGGCAATATTCAGTATTGTAGGATCGCCAAGACGCAGCAGTATTTTAGGATCGCTAGGACGCAACAGTCAAGTACATTCGCGGCGTTGAAGTCCCAGGTCTGGTGTTCTGTCACGATTCAGGATTGCCAGGACGCAGCGCTCACTTCGTTCCGCGGCGTTGAGGTCGCACGAAGGGTGCTGTTGTACGGTCGGGGATGCTCAGATGGTTGTCTTCTGGTGGCCCACGTCCCGCAGTGAAAACAAATTCATGCAGGGACCCATGAAGGGAACTTGGAGGGAGGGTGTATTGCAACACTGTTGATCGTCTTCAGCTTGCACTGGTCCTCTTCCTCCTCCACCTCCTCCTCCTCCGGCCACGCTCTACCGCTTCCTCCTCAGCCTCCACATCCGCATTTCCCTCATCCTCCTTGTCCTTGGCTTATGTCATCGTCGTTCCGCGTTCTTGGGTTGGTC